CGCGCTTCTCGTTGCGTCACACCTCAACCCGCCTCAAAGCCAACGCTAATTGGACGTTTGTTTGGTGAACGGCTCCAAATTTTCTTCAACGGAGAGTCTCCAGACTGATCTGCGATTAAAATCTTGAAAGCTCGCGAGATCAGGATGGTCTCACCAGGCTAGTAAAAACCAGGATACTTGCAACTTTGCGAACTTTATCTAAGCTGTCCAGTATAGGAAAACAGAGTCACTTTAAAGCTATTGCATCATGAAGAAAAATAAAAACACAAAGTTGCTCTAAAACATAAAATGCAATGTTTCTGATTGGCCATCATAAAACCCCAAAATCAGTCAGAAATTTGTGAAAAAAGGTGCATATAACCAATGCAATCTGCTTTTAAAATGTACACAGGTTTAAGGATATTCGCCTACTGTTTAAATTAGCAAAACTTTCCTACATACATTTATTTTCTCATAGAATAAGACATAGCACATTCTTGTACAGTAGATAAATGTTATTTCTAGTAGATGGGTTTTCAGCTTGTGCATTCTGGAATGTTTTTTATGTTTTTGTAATGTATGCAGACGTCCCACTGAGACAGTTAAATTACCGTAACTACAGTGCTAACCACTGTAACTGCTCTACTTTTTCAGTGATAAAAGCAGAGTGACTTGACACTTGACTGACGGGCTGTTGCGAGTGAAAACAGCCAGCCTCCTTATTTACATTTTGTGCTAGAGGCTCAGTGTCAGTACTCAAGGTTATTCTGCTGCATTAGCAGAACGGCAGAAGTGTCTGCCAGTTCTTCATCTTTCATTAAACCTTTTAGGCCAAACACTCTGCTGCTGCCCAGACCCTGCCTCCCTTGACAATAATGTTCTAACTGTTCACCTGCCAAACTATCAAACTATTTTATATTCCACACCTGCGAGGCATTAGACACAGGGATCCAACCTGGCCATGCAAACACAACAGTACACTCTTTGTTAGGGGCCCCGGGACCATTATAGTGGGTGGGTAGGGCCCAAAAGTGTTCTAGAAACACTTTATCAGAATGAGATAGACACACTGCAGGCCTTTGTGCTCCCTGTGACACAACACGCTATTTCCTGTGCTCAGGAGGAATGTTTTACAACATTTAGGGTGAGGTATTTTAATTGAAACCACCTACAGCCTGACAGTAGCCTGAGCAGAGACACATGGAAAATCTGTTGAGGGCAGCTCAGTGGGCTCCCTGTGGTTTCAAACAGCTCAACGTCCCTCTTCTAAAGAACATGACACTTTGATTTATAATTGAGTCAACGACTGTGATGGCTTTCATCTGTCTCTATAGTTAGTTGCTTGTAGTAGCTTTTTCATGCGGCTGATGCTGCTGTGCTATAAATTACAAAAAGTGCAATATTGTCTGCTAATGAGACATTTATAACAAAGCCAACAGCAACTGCTTGACTTTTTTGGGGGGTTATTTATTTTCTTAGTTCTCATGCTAATGTATGCATTAATTAGGCCAATTAATTACCATTACTTGCGACATTTATAAACCTTCAATAGGACAGACGAGTTAGAATCGCAATTAGCTTTCTTGAAGGTTTATTTATTTAGTTATCATCAACTCCATTTTTTGGCTAAACTGCCTACAACAAATTCAAGCTAAGAACTACGGAGTAATACACATGCTTCACTTTGTGGCTGTTTTAGGTTTATTTTTTTATTTTAACACCTCATTATACGCAATTGATTTTCATCTTCAATGTTTAATTTATTCATTTTGTTCAAGTGTTTTACTCTTTCTCATAATGGTGCATCACAGCCTGATCTGTGATATTAAAAGATGGATGTATAAGCAGAAGAATAAAAAGAGGAAAAACTAATTTACACCACAAGTTTCAATTTAGGGTGCAAAGAAAACTTTATTTTTTGCCTGATTTTCATCATTTGGCAGGATTGCAACCTTTAAAAAAGAAACCTGTTTTAATGTATCAACCTGCATTTGAACTATTCCGCAAAGACGTACCATCTTAAGATCTGCAAAGCTGGATGGGACATCCCCAAAAGACTTACTGTAGTTAGGAAAGATTGATGTTGTGATTGCAGAGGTGTTTCCCAACCTTTATTGACTTGTGTACCCCTTTGGGTATTTTATCTTACCATCAGTACCCCCCCTCTGTTAAGAGCATTGATGATTGTCCAAAAGTGGAACGTACAATAAATACAATAAATACAAATTATTTCACTTAATCTTTGAATTTGAGGATTTAATTCTTAGGAATTTTATGTTTTCCATCTCAAAAAAACAAAACATAAATATGTTGCCTGGAAGTTAGTAAGGAATCAAAATAAATGCAAAATGAAATCAGAAAAATGGTTTTATTTACCACAGCTATGCAAAAGTCATTAACCATAGACATTTCCAAAACCAGCCAGTCTGCATCTGGACGGAAAAAACTTATGAAAAAAGCACCCCTGGAGGATTTTATACAAGCCTCCAATTAAAAAAGGAACTGGTGATCTTTAGTGGAGGAATTTACATGATGCCATCGCCACAAACTCTTTTTTTATCTGTTAATAATCAAGGTGTTTTAAATGAATATCCTTCCTGTGGTCCGTCTGAAAATGTGTTCCCCTGTTTTATGGAATGCAAAACACTAAAGTCAATTTTTAGCCTTTTAATAAGTGTTTTTAGTCTTTTTTACAAATCCTCTATTTATAGTAGGATTTTGCCAAAACATAAGAAACAAGCCAAAGGCCTGAGTTTTAAATGTTTTGATCAGAGAAGCAAAGATGACCATTTACTGGTCCTGGAGAGACAGATTGCAGGAGGGACCTTGATGCTGTGGCTCTGTGGAAATGCAACATTAAAGCCAGAATAAGGCTGGAGTTTCACTTCTACAGAGCCACACTGAACATGGAGGATTTTATACAGTTGTGAGGTTTTAACCAAAGTTTATATTAGGGGTGGGTATTGGCAAAGAAGTCATGATTCGATTCGAATCACGATTCACATGCCACGATG